AAGTTTTTATGTCCTTTGACTCATTTGTCATCCCAAGGACAGAACCGGAGGTTGCTGCTAAGGTTTCGAAGTGAATGAATGTAGAAAGAGAATTTCATCTAAGAGCAGAACAGTCTTATCATATGGCCGTCTGTTGGGTTTCCCAACGAGGGATCTATTCATGATTTCAAATGGGGGAGCTTGTATTTGAGGTTTCGGGGAGGGGGGGGGGTTCGTTTGTGGCCGTGAACGAGACATACCACAATGGCCTAAACGAATAGATTTTGCTCAGAAACTATATAGCCCTCCCCGTTTCCATTTTTGAAAGGATTTTGCGGGTGGAAGTGGAATGTGTTGAGTGGATAGCAGTCTCAGCAACACCTCTCGGTTGGGTAGGGTCGTGGAGGTCGTACGAGGGATTCCCTCCAAAGGGTAGTAAATATTTTGACATCGGCACGTCGTAACGGTTCCCCGTGTGGGCGAAATTTAGCGCCTGTGTTGACCTTCTAAAAGTGAGATTAGTTTAGGTCTAACAATATTTGGAATTTTTTTATATTCCCCCCCCCTATTGAAATGAAGAGATCACCACGAAGTGTTTTTGGTCCCCATAAACAGAATGGTTTTCTTTATTCCTGAAGCTCATTACTTGCTTTTTCTTCCTATTTTATAATTTTCTAATTTTTGCTGATTCAAATGATTCCTTTGAAATGCTTCCATTGATTTTTAGATCAGCATTTTCGTAAAAGTTTTAGTTTCACCTTTTTGATCGAAAGTTTTTTTTGTTTTATTTCAAAGAAAAAAATCGCAACACAGAAGAAAGAATTGAATGTGAGCATGAATAGGGGAACCCATGCGGTGCAAACGGTGCTGAGTAGGTGATGCTTGACCGACTGCAAGTGCAGTGCTGCATGAAATGTACTGCTCTGTCCAACCCCTAATCATTATGCTGTCAGTGTTATCAGTAGGAAAGGGGAATATCAGTCTGAACTAGTCATTCCAGCGAACGCTCGACCAGTAGGACTGGGAACACATGTGTTCCCATCTCATTACCTGCTGAAAGGAGATTTTCGGTATTATGGATTTTTCGGCCAAATTTGTGGATTAGTGAAGGCCAAATTGAGTAAAAACTTTTCTAGTCGACCGACATTTGAGCGGATTTTCGTTGCCTCATAGAAATCGCGCCCAGTTCCTAAGGCTTCTAATATCTTGACAAATTGTATCGGTGCGTTTGGGCCTACAAAAGGCATGATCTATGGGCTAAATAGAGAAAAAAAATGGTGAACGGTGTGATTAATGTTTATTACGAATAGGGTATCGGACGGTAGTAACTATCCATTGTGTTCATCAACAATGCCCCGGACATGAGAGATGGGTCGCGTGAACACGGTATTCGCCGCATTGGTGTATTTGCACCGAGCACACATAGCCTTGGTTATTTACACATTATCTAATTGATGTGAGTATGCGCGAGCGCAAGTTGAATAAGTGGCATAGGATTCGCGCGTGCGCGTCGATTGCTGCTCCTATCAAGTGACTACCGGGCGTTCGATGGCATTTTACCAGCTATGGTTAAGGGTAAAGGTGATATACCCAGCCCGAAACCCAAGAGGGTTAGTCCGCTTAGTGATCTCAGGTTGTGCGACAAGTTATAATATCTATCTATCCATCATGATCATGGCGCCCTATTGTGGCCTTTTTCACTGATAGGTAGTCCTGATCACCACCTCATACTCATTTCGCCGAAGTTTCACTTTTGAGTCCTACGGTCACGCTTCCTGGAAGGTACTAGAGGCAACTGCGTTGAATACGGTAGCGACAACGGGCCGAACAGTGCGCTAAAACAGCAACTCGCACCAGCCGTAATAAGCATCCCTTAAGCATTCATAAATTTTGCCAGATAACATTTTTAAGAGGTGAAACAGGTCCCAGAGCAAAAAAAAAAATTAAATATCGATTCCCTTAAATCAATCAATATCATTCATTTCAGAAAGACATGGAAAGCCTACGGTATGAGATCTCATGGAAGGACGAACGGATCGAATATCTACAAAAGACGCTAGCTGAAATGGAAGATTCGTTACCAAGCTCCTCAGCAGACAACTAACATCACGACCACCTCTAGCCCCAAATCCCGTGTGATTATGACGCCATAATAGCCAGCTCTAACCTGTGAATCTCCATCTGCGTAATATGCATTCCCGAAAGCTCGTCCCAGTCTAAGGCTGGGACGAGTTGTTCTACTAATTTCTGGTAGTTCTCATTCATTCATTCACTCACACCAATCATTCTTGTCATTATCACCCACTATTCTGTGGCTAGCTCCAAGCGACATATAGAGTGCATTGTCACATGATCCATCTGAATAACCGGTGGTTTTGTGCAGGCGAAAAATGCTGCTTGTTGATGATTGCCGATATGCTGATAAATGTGGTGATTTCGATGATAGTGATAATCGCTGTGCACGTTTGTGTGCTGCTTAATGTGTATGTGTGTGTGTGTGTCTCTTTCTCTCGTGTACAATGAAATATGTGCTTCTGTGCTAAAGTAGAATCGACGATCAATAAACAATCATATATTCAAAATAAAACTGAAAATTGAACGTGGTGAAGAAACACATTCGTAGACATATATATTGCCATTGGATGTACAAATACAAGCATTAACACACAATATCGAATGCGCTGAGTAATAAGTATAGATTCTATTCGTACAAACACGCTATGAATGGACGACGATGTGATTGTGGGTCCCGTGTGGAAAACGTGTGAAACAATGGAATGCAATATGATGCTGAACTGATAGTACATATAGAGCTCTTTATGAGTGTGAAGAAAGACACTTGCCATGCCTGAACTGGGGTGAGTGCATTATGAATATACATTGGTCCTACACGGAAAACAAATTAGCGCAGGTGTGGGTGGTGTCTTTATCGACTCACTCGGTGAAGAGCAACAGATACACAATGGGTACAACAGGACCACTGAAAGGTGTGATAGGTGATAATGATAACAAGTGAGGCGCTTTGACCCTAACAACCTTTGAAAAAGACGTCATCACAGACTGTAAATACACGACAATCAAGGAGAAATGCTTGGGGGAAAATAGGTGTGTGTCTTTAGATGTGTGTATATATGTGTGTGCATTTGTGTGTATCTGAGGCGTGTATGTGTGTAAAGGGACTGAAGACTAATTGAGTAATGGAGTTCTCTGTTTTTCTTCGTACCAGACGATCATCCTTAGGAATTCCCGTTCGGGAAACCCAAGGAGGGAACATTCACTCACCCAACTTCAAACTACACATATCGATTGATCGTTGAGATCAGAGACAGGTAAAGCTCAATCAATATATTCTAGGCGCGGCAACGGCGGCGGCGGAACAAAAATGAGGTACAAATGCAACTGATGGGGGGTGCTGCTTGCTAAAAACAGTGTGTGTTTGTGCTTCGTGTATACGTGTGTATGTGGGAAACATCCAATGTGTAGATAGGAAAACACTGAACCGAAACATTTGGCGAACAATGTGGACGCGGCGCCGAAAGTACAAGGTCGGTCAGTATCGATCCACAATCGCAATAAAAGCCAGGTTAACGAATCGATAGAGTGGGTGAAATGCGTGGGTGGATGATGATGCGTGGGAAAATGCGTTGAAAAATGCGGAAACAATAATGCAAGAGATGTGATTTGGTGTATGTGTGTGGGTGTGGGTGATCTGGGAAAGATTGGAAGACAGAAGCTTCTATGAAAAGCAATCGATCAATATCCAATAATCAATAGTAATAATAAAATAATGAAAAGAATGAAGGTTGAAAATTATAAAACTGAAAACGAATGTGAACATTATAAAACACTAACAATTAAATCACTCAGCCATTTACGTCGGCCATTTTGTTACGGGCGTATTCGATCCGGATACCACCGCGTTCGGAAGAGCCCAGATGGAATCCTTGCAGCGCCATCATAGCGCTGGTTGCTGAGGCCAGTGACGAGTACTCGATAAACGCCACAGAGGAACCGTTCTTTGTGTGCATTCGTAGTCGAGTGAATCCGGCAAATGCCTTGAATACAGAACGCAGCTCATCCTCGGTAACACCAGGGCTCAGATTAGCCACGAACAGCGTCGAACAGCCTTGAAGTGAGGCGGCATTCTGGGCGTTAAGACCCAGAGCAGCCTGCAGGAAAGCATTCTGGTGATAGCCACCATCAGATGACAGAATACCAGCTAGGGGAAGGGATTGCGTAGCAGCTGACGGAAATCGTGGAAGATTCAGTGAGAATAGTTGATGCTGATCGAATAGCAGCGGATGTTGGTCGAGGAGGATCGCGTCGGCGGGTTGAAGTGGCGCCAAGAACTGAGGCATTGTCTGCAACGAGGGAGCAGCCATCGGAATCACCGGCGGTGGTGATTGTTTCGGCCGACTGACCTTCGTGTTCGACTTAGCCAACTCAAGACGCAACACCTGAGCACAATCGGGATCAAAACGTACACCTTGTAGAGCCTTACGTGCTTCGTCGGCATCCTTGCTGGTCTGGAATGTCACGAATCCAACGGGTGACGTCGGTTTGCCGTTCTTGGCCGTCATCTTCAGCAATGAACTCTCGTAACCACGATAAGCACGGAATAACAGATAAAGTTCACGAGGTTTCGCGTCCATTGGAAGACCTGAGACGAATAGGGTCCGAACTTGAGGACAGGACTCGGTACTGACGGAATTCAAGGATTCCATGGAAATGGCGGACGCCAGCTTGCCACCATCCATGTCGCAGGCCGGCAGGTAAACTGGCCCTCTGCGGGAGGCCGCCGCGCGAGGTCCACGCGCTGCGGCGCCGCTCCGCCCATTCGCCGCGGGGCACCGTTGCCGGGGCAACCTCCCGCTCGGACTCTCTGCACCATCCCATCGGCTATGACATCATTGCAGGTCAAAACCGGATCTTGTCATGGGGTTCTGCGGGAGGAAATCCCATGGGTGGGGGCTCGGAACATGTAACTGACTAGTTCTACGGGTCGCATTTTGCTTTTTGCGTTTCTTATTGTTTTCCCGCTCATTTGATTCGAAGGCAGCAGTAATTTTTAAGAAGTCACTTCCTAGGACGCTTCACTTTCCTTTTTCCCAAGGACATACGTGGCTATCTGAAGATCCCTCCCAAATATCTACTCCTATCAAGACAATATTGAATCAGGAGAAGGGAGAATCCAACCTTGACCCAACCTCTAAAAGTAGGGAAACGCACGGTCTCATCAAACATTCGGTATGGTCTACCCACTTGATCTGATAAGATGTTCTAGTAAAGTGTAGCCTTTCGAGGATGATATTCCTAGTGGTTCTGACCAAGTGTTTCTGGCCTTTGATTTGCTGAAAACTTCTTGGAAAGATAGAATTTCAGTTTTTGCAGATCGTCTGACGTATGTTCAGCTGAAATGTTTAATATCGATTACGAAATAATCATTTATCTCCATGTTAAGGGCTATATTTAACCTCGAAGGCGGAGGTGGCGTTAAGACGAGTAGCGCCACTTACAACGCGCACGATGTTAGGGTCTAATCCCGGATCAAACTCGCCTGTTCGTTCTTCTACGTCTGCTGGCAAATCCGCCGCAAATCCTTGTATGTACGTAGCGCACTCAAACGCTGCAACGAATTTAAGTGGACGGACAATGCGTGGCGCATCCCAGAAACGCTTGATTTC